CATAATACTATGGCTGATCAGTGTATATATTGATGCGGAGTGCCTCTGTATTTTATATCTGGTTGCCTTTTCCTTCATTCCACCAGTGCACTAATACTCTATTACTGTAGAGACATGAGAAGACGAATCATTGACTGTTTCTATTGTCTCGTACAGTAAAACAATAAAATAAGGACCATATTGTGTAGGTGCCTTGGCTCTAGACAAAGTGTTCTTATATACAGCCTTGTTATGGAGCAGGTGGCTGGTTTATGTATTCTTGGTCTGAAATACCAGCCCTGAAAAGGGCCGTGTTCTGTAGAGAAATATTGTATGTTTTTTGAGGAACAGCTGACTCCCTTTAGTAATGTCTTTTCTAGCCGTTGTGACCTCTTCCATTTTATACGTGCGTCCTCTGAAAATTCACTTTGAACTGGAAGAAATACTACTACTATTATTATTATTATTGTTAACACTTATTTTTGCAAAACAACGATTCTGTACTTCTAGTGAAAAAAAAGTAAAAATCTTACCTTTGAGCGGAAACCACAAGATTCCTGCTTTTACCTTTATTATCCAGAAGTTCCTCTTTTGAGGCCCACCTCTGATTTATTTGCAGTTGATGTCACCTTTGGCAGTCTCTAGGGTCTGCTAACTAGTGAAGCAATGAACAGAAATCAGAAAGAACTGCAGAGTGAGCTAAGATGAAATAAAAAAAAAAAAAAACTGCTTTGAGAATGGAAGAATGTGTCTTCTTGAATTCACCTACTGCCTCCTTACAGTCTGTTTACAGTTATTAAATAACTAGTACAAAGCCGTCCACCACACTGCCCCAAACTACATCACTGACCTAATATCAAAGTACCGCCCAACACGCACACTCCACTCCTCACAAGACCTCCTTCTCTCTAGTTCCCTGGTCTCCTCCTCCCATGCCTGCCTCCAGGACTTCTCCAGGGTGTCACCCATCCTCTGGAACTCCCTGCCCCAACCCATCAGATTATCACCTACTCTCCTCTCCTTTAGGCGCACCCTGAAAACCAATCTCTTCAGGGAAGCCTACCTTACCCCCTGCTAACTTGACCGACCTCCTCCACTCTTTCTACCACTCCATCCCCCTACAGCTATCTCCTCCTGTGCCACCATCCCCTCCCTCCTAGATTGTAAACTCGAAAGAGCAGGGCCCTCAATCCCCTCATGTTTTGCATTGTATTGGTATTGTTCTGTCACATGTTCTGTCCCCCTTTGTAATGTACAGCGCTGAGCGAACCATTGGCGCTTTATAAATACTGTATAATAATAATAATAATAGTAAAAGCTTGGTATGGGAAGAGATCTGGACTTTGGGACAGCCAAACTGGAGGAGAATGAGACAACTTGAAAAGAGTAAGGTTCAAAGCCAGGACTATACCACTGTAGAGAAGATGGCACAGCATGAGGAGGATGTGTTTAACCTTTAATTGTGTAAGATGGGATATATGGGACACAGCAAGAATGATAATGAGGATAGCTTGGGTAACAAAGGGGCTGGTTGGCATGGGACCATCCGTACACTGCAACCAAGAGTCTTGCTTGAGGTAGTGATTGAAGTACTATATGTCTGGTACTACAAGGGATGTGTCAAACCTCTACAGAGAGACCACTGCTTCCAGACAAAGAGCAAGGGTCCTTCTTTGGAAAATTCCATAAACATGTGAAACGGATAACTCTGTATTATATGTTACCATGAATCTAACATATTCCTGCCTGCTCCTGGCATTGAGGTGACCAAGAGCTAGCACTGAGTGAGTTTGGAAAGGCAAAATCCTACTCTCCCATGCCTTTTGTAAAGAGAGACTGTTATGCAGCAGAATTGAAAATTGTGTAAGAAGCCTCAGATGGAAGCTGCCCTTCTCGGACAACTGGAATGTCACAGTGAAGCTGAAATGAGTTCAACGTCATTGCCTGCAAACCACTATACAGCTCAGGAGTCCTACAATGGCAGCTTCTATATGAGACCTCTCAATGAGTTGCCTTACTTTAGAAAATATTACCTTCAATGGCTTCTTATTAAATCTCCCTGTGATTTCTAACATTGATTTAATTAGAATTTTGCTTTTTCTCTCTCCTACCTCTCATTTGCCTTCCCTGATCGAAGTCTAGGAGAGTAAGTGGCATTTTTCGGTCTGCTTTGTTGATGTTGTTCTTCTGTCACGCATCTTTATCCATATCCCAAACATAATGAGGAGCATTGCTTACCACAGATATCACCACAAATGAAAATGTTTATTACTTTTGATTATTTTTATTGGTATTTTTCAATAAATGATTTCATGGTAGATTAGCTCAATGTAATCCCACTTGATAGTCATGTTAAAATATACAGCAGTACAGGGGGAGCCCTCCTTCAAGAGTGCTTTGAGCCTTTCATAAGTAAACATTCAGAATTAATGACACAGTAGAAAAAGTGTAAAAGAGAAGGTAAGAAGGGTTGGGGAAGAAATGATGAAGCATACCATATCCTCTAATATAAACCGTGACTTAGGCAGGCTATAGATGATGCGATTTTCTTTCCTGCAACCATGGGTTGCAGGATAGAAAATCGCTCAATTCCACCATCAACACAGTCCATGTTGATGGGGGAATCCCTCCTGCAGAGCTATTATGTTCTCCAAGCTGGGTGGAGCAGAGAGCCATCCCTGCACGGAGAACACAGTGATTATTGCTATTGGCTATTAGACACTGGAAATATTTACATGCAAAAATCTGACATGTTGGTTTGATGGATTGACTGGGGTACGATCAGTCTGCCCATAGATGGATTGAAATTCGGCCAGTTCAGAAGGGACCGGCTGAGATTCGAATCATCTATGGCTGGTTTTCCAGTAGCTTAAAGTGAAATTCTGGGATAATCCTAAATCCTCTTAAATCTATCCCCTCCACCCTCACAACGCCTATGCTTACTAGCCTGTGCAAGAAAGATGTATATACTTACCTATTTTCAGACTGTTGGGGGAGGGGGGGGGGGTTTTAAGATTACTTGGTGTTATCCCGGGATTCCTCTTTAAATATAACCTTTTAGCTGTTTTGCAATTTTAAAATTAAACGTCCTGCCTAAGACCAGGAGCTTCAAAATTGATCGATTCATTTTTTGGCCTTTGGTGTTTAGCTTTGCATAGAAAGGAGGAAGATGTAAAAATTTAGTCAGGTTTCTTTCTGTCTGTGACCTCATTGAGATTTTTCCCTCAATTTTTGTCCCTGTGGAACCCATATAAGACTTTTGGGTGCAGGCATCTCTGGAAGAAAAAGGCACAGATACCAGTAAAAGACCTAAGGGTTGATTTACTAAAATTTGAGAGTGCAAAATCTGGTGCAGCTCTGCATAGACACCAATCAGCTTCCAGGTTTTATTGTCAAAGCTTAATTGAAGAAGCTGATTGGCTCCCATGCACAGCTGCACCAGAGTTTGCACTCTCCAATTTTAGCAAATCTCCCCCATTGTTAGATGTTCTAACCCATCTCTATTATTCCAAAAAAAAAATGTTTTTGTCTGTATCCCCATTGGAGAGATGTATCATCAGGTTCTGTCATGAAGGGACATAGCAATAAATACTTGACGTGCCGTAAATGAAGCCAAGATGGTTATTTCCCCTGCCTTAGTTAGGCTTTAAAGTCACACCTCTACCCTGTATGTGCAAAAAGGTTGCACATACAGGGGTAGAGGTGTGACTCTAAAGGTTGTCCAAATGAGCCTAACTATAAAGGTTGTCCAAATGGTTAGTTGCATACTTTTTAAAGGGCCAAGATGAGCTACAACTTTGGATGGAGATCTGTATTACATAGTTCATGGTGGATTTTTTTTTTTTACTTTACTGGAACCCCACAAGGATAATCCAAGCACGCTGTGGCCTGTTGATAATTCAGTGATGGGAGGTTGGAGAACTGGCTATCTTTGCTTATGCTAAAGCCAAACAAAATGGCAACGTCAGCTAGAAGAGAAACATATAAGCAGCCAAAGTGTGCTGTGACAAGCATCCATGCAGAAACAAGTTCATGTTTGGATATTTAAAGTATATTTTAACCAATGGAAAAATTCTAAAAGCCCACCAAATGGCATCACAGCTTAGGTCAACTTTTACCATTAGGTTTCATTTAGGTTGTCTCATGAAAGACCAATGTCTTGCATGCACAGTGTACCATAGTAATCATCTGTTATTACATAATGGTCATCTTTTGCCTGTCCTGTGAGGCTGCAACTCAAAGCTTTCAGGACAGTACTTGGACAGTAGGAATATTTGTTTTCACTTTGGACAGAGTAGGAAATGGTTACATCCCCTATCAGTTTTTTCTTGCCATGTGAATGCCATTGGCGAAATTTCACTTCCTGACCTGCAGGAACAGCAGAAAGCGAGAAGAAGTTTCTCCAAAATATTTGAAATCCCTTCTTAGATCAGGGCCACCGGGCCACCCACCCGAACTGTAAAATAACAACTGGACGGGGATGTTCACGTGCCAGGGCAATGGCATTTTTAACTTGAGGTGCTTGTCAAGCTCACCCATTGCGTTCAATAGGGCCAGACGACAACTGTTGTTTCTCAGAAGGCACCACACTCCACCGCGAGTATTAAAGAGCCCTTAGACAGTTGAGTCACAGGAATAATTGTCCCAATTGGAAGATTTCCCTCTTTCTTCCTTTTTTGTTGGCAATATTTGATTTTTTTTCACTTTCAGTCCCAGTGAAAGTAGTCACCAGGACAGATAGAATGAATCTCTCAAGTGGAGACACAGGCAGCAATTGAAATCTCACAGGTGTTCTTACCCCTCATCACTCACCTCACCAAATATAAAAAAGAAAAAAAAAATGTTTTGCCTTTAAATACACTTTAAGGCAAATTTTTCAGGTGGGCGGACAAATCATTTAATAAGAATCCATTTGTTTCAGTTACATGGGCCATCATTATATGCTATTCATAAAAATATGTCCAGTGTTTGATCCTTTTTCCTCTTTCTAGGATTCTCAGAGCAAGCAAGGAGGGTACAGCATGCACCAGCTGCAGGGTAACAAGGAGTATGGCAGTGAGAAGAAAGGATACCTGTTGAAGAAGAGCGATGGGTATGTTGTAGGTCTTTTAACTGAAAATTCTCAAAGTACTAAAAAAAAACAAAACTATTTTTAGCAGTTTATTGAAAATTCTTTTATTCAAACAATCAAATTGGAAGATGCAGAATCAGCATTGTTGTACCCTTTTCAAATTACTACACCTCCTCAAGTGACAATGTGACCACTGCCCATCTGTATTAATTCACAGCCCAGCATAGCTAGTGCCAACCTTAAAGTGCTGGCGCTGCTGAGGATGTGGTTTCTGGTACATTTAATATTGGTTTAAAGATTTATTTTTAGGCTGGACTTGGAAAAGGGGGTGCAAGTATTAGTTGTGCCTGCAACATGAATGTTAAATGGAAAACATCTTTCCTTTAAAGACATTATAAACCTTCCTACTTGGATCTCTTTTTTTCACCTGTATAAAATATGCATTGATCCTGTAGTTTAATGGTGTCATATGTTGCCATATGTGCACAGCCTGTAGCCAAGTCGATCTTCACATTCCTGTGTCAACTGTTTGTGTTCAAACATGAGATGTGAGGCATGGCACTGTACAGATTAATGTATAAACCTCTATCTGTAGTCTTAGAACTGACACTTCCTGTAAAGAAACTACAGATCCCACAATCCTCAGGTCTCTCAGTCTAGTGCTCTGACACAGACACAAGCAGGCAGAGCAATTAACAAAGATACCACCTTGCAGTTTTATAGCATTAGCACTCCCAACACTTGTTGTGCAACACAAGGGAAATGGCTAGTCATGAACTGGACACTTTTTATATTTACTAAACCTTTAGTGAAAATGGACATGCTAGATGAATGAATAAATAGACCTGGGGAAGTCATGACACTACAAACTGCAGCCACAGCATGTGAGCTCATTATTTCAAGGTTAGGTAAACAAATGTCACACTAATACTTAGTTCAAACAGCAAAAACATTTGAAAGTGTACAATGCTTTTAATATGTGTTCCATTATTCATTCTGAATAATGGAATATTCAATTCAGAAGGTAAGGCATTGGCTGAAAATTATTATTATACAGGATTTATATAGCTCCAACAGTTTGCTCAGCGCTTTACAATATAATGGGAGACGATACAGTTCAATACAAGAGGGATAGGAGGGCCCTGCTCCTTGGAGCTTACAATCTAGGAGGGAGGGGCTAGTGGTACAAAAGGTAGTAACTGTGGGGGATGGACTGGTAGGAAGAGTAGAAGATTCCATTGTTAGCTGACGGCAGGATAGGCTTCCCTGAAAAGATCGCCTAAAAGTGAGCAGAGTAGGCAATAGTCTGATAAATTGGGGTAGAGAATTCTAGAGGATGGGGGAAGCTCTGGAGAAGTCCTTCAGACGAGCATGGGAGGAGACAAGGGAGCTAGAGAGCGGGAGTTCGTGCGAGGAGCGGAGAGTACGGTTTGGGTGATATTTGGAGACAAGACTGGTGATGTAATTTGGGGCAGAGTTATAAATTGCTTTATATGAAATTGCTGTTATCCTTCAGCATTGTTATCCTTATGCCTTTCTGCTATAAACATAATATTTCCAAAGGTTTGTGAACATCTCACCATCACACCTACATAACCATATTGGACATCTCATTCCAAAACCAGATGTATAAAATAAAGCACACGGCCATGCACTCTCCACTGACAGGCATTAGAATACAAAGACACTTTAGTCAATTCTGTGCGTTCATCCTGGTCGCAATAGCTTTGCAGAAGGCCCTTTTCTGTCGCCAAATGACTGTGCCCTTGTGTACAAAGCCAGCTCCATACAGACGTGGTTGTTGTGGAGGAACTTCAGTGTCCTGAACAGAGCTCTAACCTCAACCCTACTGAACAACTATAGGCTGAATGGAAATGCCAATTGCATGCCACATCTCTTCATCCAATATCAGTACCTGAACGTTCAAATGCTGTTTTGGTTGAATGGTAACAAATCTTGTGGAAAGCCTTCTCAGAAGAGTTGACAGTTTTAGCCACAAAAGTGGTCTATTCCATATCAATGCCCATGGTTTTGGTATGGGTTGTCCATACAGGCTCATATAGGTGTGATAATCTGCTGTCCGCAAACTTTTGCCCATATATCATAGCAAGTAAGAATTGTCCACTACTGGTCCGCAGTTTTCACTCTAACCACCCCTCAGTGAGCACCATCATAGTGACAACACAAAATATTTATGATTCCAGCTTACCCGGGTCTTTCCCTGGCTTTGGTAGACAACACAAAATCTTACTTCAAATTTTGGATCTAATGCCCTTATTACACGTGGTGGACTTTGTTAGTATTAGCAGGAGATGCAATCACAGTTCCCCAGCTAATCAGAGGGAGCAGGTTGTTGTCTGCTCAGTTTATGCAGAGTGGACACAGACAGAGACTGCTCTGCTGTATGGACGGTCAGGCATAAACAGACTCCACTTACACCTGACTGCCCTTCAATCTGATCCCCCTAGACAGTAGACAGTTTGTTTACACCCACCAGTCCTTAGAGATACATGGACCATGCGATCAGGTCCTCCTGGAAAACTGACAGGTGGACCTGATCGGATCGCCTGTATGAAAAAGGCTTAAGGCAGCAGTGCCTTAGATGATCTCAAACTGTAGATATATAGCGATTGAACATCAGAACAGGAATGCCCAGATACAGTCACATGTCAAGTAGTGCACTGTATTTTTCCATAGGAATTCAAGGCAAAAGGTACATTTTTACCTTGCTAGGTTCTCTGGATGTAGATGCTAGATGTTCTAGATGTTTCCTGGCACACTTAGCTAGTCAGCACAGAATACAAAAAATAACCTGGGTGATTTTCTTACATCTTATGGTAATTACTAAAGGAGAATATTGTAATTATTAAATGATAATATACATTCCAGGAAATGGGGCAGAGAGATCACTTATGTTCCCCAGGACCAGAACTCCAGGGTACTGTGAGCAGTTGAAGCTGATGTTCTTTATCCTACCATATAATTGTGTAATATTTTTATGTTTTAGGTTACGAAAAGTTTGGCAGAGAAGGAAGTGTACTGTAAAGAACGGAATCCTGACAATATCACACGCCACTGTAAGTTTGCTGGGGCTCCCTCAATTCTATGTACAGTATCTTTTCTTCACAAAATATGCATATATGCCTTTACATCGTCTATGGTAGGTTGCATATTTTAACTTTTGGTTTAAAGATATGTAAACATTTTGGTTCCTAGCACAGTCAGAAAACTGACCACAGTGTGCTCGCATGCCTGGTGTGGTTAGTTTTTAATAGGAAAGCGGGACTGGCAGGAACATCAGGGATTTCACATAAAGGAAGCACAGGATAGTTTTTCATACAAGTACATGGTACAGTAAGCACATATCAGGAACATAATATGTTGGGTTTACATATTGTTTAAGCTCCATGCCGGTATTTATTACAGGTACTTATATAGCGCCATCAATTTACGCAGCGATTTACATACTGTATATATATATTGTACACTCAGATCAGTCCCTAGCCCTCAAGGTGTGTACTATCTAAGGTCCCTAACTCACATTCATACATACACATACTAGGGCCAATTTTTGGGCAGCACAGTGGCTAAATGCTTAGCACTTCCGCCTGGCAGTGCTAGGGTTGTTGGTTCAAATGTTGGTTCAAATCCCAACCACGGCACCACTTGCCTGGAGTTTGCATGTTTTCCCTGTGTCTGTGTGGGTTTCCTCCGGGTACTCCAGTTTCCTCTCACACTCCAAAGACATGCTGGTAGGTTAATTGGCTCCCGTCTAAATTGGCCCTAGTATGTGTATGTATGAATGTGAGTGAGGGACCTTCGATTGTAAGCTTCTTGAGGGTTAGGGACTGATGTGAATGCATTTACGTGTGTGTGTGTGCGTGTGTGCGTGTGTGTGTGTGTGTGTGTGTGTAAGCACTGCATAAACTGATGGCGCTATACAAGTATCTGTAATTAAGTAATTAATTTAGACAGGATCCAATTAAACAACTCATCTGAATGAAGCTACAATGCAACTAGTGTCAGTATCTTAATTTGACTTGATATTTAGCCTTTTTTGCAGTCCCGGTATAGCAACATGCAGGCATGGAGAAAAAGGAGCTAATCCGGTGTGCTGCATGCTTACAAAAAAACATACTTATAGGCGGAGAGAGCAGAAGGAGCGGAGAGATGACTGACTTCATCAGGCTTCTGCTGCTCTTTCAGTGTTCAATTAGCTGACTGAGGGAAGAGATTTATCCTTATTCTCTCCAACGGAGCCTTGGATAGCACTAAAAACCTGACAAAGATTCTAACCCATCCTTACTCTATCCAAAACTGAAAAAAATGTTTTGGCAGAACATACCGGACTATATTATTGAGGAAAAACCTGCAGAATTGCACTTACAAGAGAAGTGGATTTTGGTAAGCTTCTTAAAAGCACAAAGAATTGCTCTATCATCAGCAGAAGACCAGGGCCCATCTAACATGGCTCAGGTGTGGAGGGAGGATGGCCACTGTGTGCTGTAGGTGAGATTAAAGCATACTCCTGGTTCACATATATGTGGCCGTGCAGGCAACGTTTTGTGTGGGCACGACAGCCCCTTCATTTGAATGGACTCCCGTGCCCCCTGACACGCAGGGAAGAAGTCCCTGTACTTCTTCTGAAAACGCAGCCCGCATGGGAACCTTGGTTCCCAGTACGGTTGCGTTTTCCAGTGCGGGCGGTGTACCATTAGAACTAATGGCACCCTCCCACGGGTCCGCATTCCTCTGTGCGGGTGGTGCGGCTGCACTGATTTGCGTGCGGATCCACAGCCGCACCACCTGAACATATGTAAACCTAGCCTGAAATACATACAGTTGTGTTCAAAATAATAGCAGTCAGACATCACTAACCTGATCAATCACTGTTTTTGGTAGAAATGATATTTCTACATGGCAAATAATTTCCTAGCAGGTGTAGTAGAGTAATAGAAATCCAACAGACCCAACAGTCATGACATGCATGCTGCTGATTCTGTGTCATTGAATCACTAATTGAAAGGGGCATGTTCAAAATAATAGCAGTGTGGAGTTCTATTAGTGAGGTCATTCATTCTTTGAAAAACAGGTGGCAATTATTGCCCTTATATAAGGAAGGAAGGCAGCAAATGTTGTACATGCTGGTTACAGTGCATTTCTCTCTGAAATTCCGAGGAAAATGGGTCGTTACAGACATTGTTCAGAATAACAGCGTACCTTGATTAAAAAGTTGATTGGAGAGGGGAAAACATATAAAAAAGTGCAGAAAATGATCGGCTGCTCAGCTAAAATGATCGCAAATGCTTTAAAATGGCAAGCAAAACCTGAAAGACGTGGAAGAAAGCGAAAAACTACCATTCGAATAGGACAGCCAAAATGGCAAGGACTCAGCCAACAATCAGCTCCAGGAAGATGAAAGAAGGTGTGACGTTCCCTGTGAGTACTGTTACAATTAGAAGACGCCTATGTGAAGCCAAGCTATCTGCAAGAAGCCCCCGCAAAGTCCCACTGGTGAAAAAAAAGACGTGCTGAAGAGGTTACAATTTGCCAAAGAGCACATTGACTGGCCTAAAGAGAAATGGCGCAACATTTTGTGGACTGATGAAAGTAAGATTGTTCTTTTTGGGTCTAGTGGCCGGAGACAGTTTGTCAGACGACCCCCAAATACTGAATTCAAGCCACAGTACACTGTGAAGACAGTGAAGCATGGTGGTGCAAGTATCATGATATGGGGATGTTTCTCATACTGCGGTGTTGGGCCTATTTATCGCATACCAGGGATCATGGATCAGTTTGAATACATCAGAATACTTGAAGAGGTTATGCTGAAGCGGAAATGCCCTTGAAATGGGTGTTCCAACAAGACAACAACCCCAAACACACCAGTAAACGTGCAACATCTTGGTTCCAGACCAACAAGATTGATGTTATGGAGTGGCCAGCCCAATCCCCTGGATCTTAATCCAATAGAAAACTTGTGGGGTGACATCAAAAATGCCGTTTCTGAGGCAAAACCAAGAAATAGAGAAGAACTGTGGAATGTGGTCCAATCATCCTGGGCTGGAATACCTGTTCACAGGGGCCAGAAGTTGGGTGACTCCATGCAACACAGATGTACAGCAGTTCTCAGAAACAGTGCGACTACAACCAAATATTTAATAAGTGATTCAAAGGAAAGCAAAATCTTCAAACATTTTTCAGTTTATATAGTGAATGTTTGAGTTTGTAAAGAAGAATACAAACACTGCTATTTTTTTGAAACGTCTAATATTCACTTTTCTTCAATTTTTTTAGAGGAACAACACAAATTTGATCTATTTTTCTTCATGTTTTGATTTGGAATAGAATGTGTCGTTTTCCCAATCCATTTGTGTGTATGGAAATAAAAGCTATTAGAAGGATTTTGAGCTTTATTCACTTTTTTCAACACACTGCTATTATTTTGAACACAACTGTAAATGTCTATTTGAAAAAAAACACAATCAAGAAAAATGCATCATTGCCATACAGATAGTGTCTCTAGTGGGCGTTTGAACACATGACACCCATACTGCAAGGCATCTACGCTAACCAATAAAGCGCCATGCTGGCCATTTGACAGCTCTGTGGGATGGCGTCCTCAATGGAAAAAGTAGCTTCCTTCCTGTTTTGCCATTACTACAAAATAAATCTGCTGATAGACCCATATCACATGTTCTGATGAAAATATATTTACTTGATGAAGCAGATTCTCTTTGCCATCACAGATCAACAGCTGACAGGAGTTGGCAGACAGTTTAGAGCTGACAACAATTAGCCAGTCACTCAGACAAGTCAGCCTACTAATACATTCTGTCTAAGCAGCTGCTCGCACAGATAACATGCGGAGAGGTCCTGGAGGAGCCTGTTACGCCTGGCTTTTGTCTGGTGTCACAATAATGTTCTCAGCAACGATTTAGTGGTGGCACAAAATCTCACTCACTCGGGGGGTGTGAAAAGAAGTTTTCTAACACTTATTTGCAATTTACACTTGCTTCCTTGCCTGCAACACTTGACGTAATGACCTATGTGTAAGACACAAGAATCCGTGACAGTGCTCATTTGTCTGCTGCTGTTATATGCAGTCTGGGACTTCCCAGCATCTGTTCAGCTACAAGTCCTGTGATCCCTCCGAAAAACGGTAACTTGCCAGGGATTGTGCAGCTAGTAGTTCAGACTAGGAGGTTCACACTAATGCGGTGCTGTAGACTCCGCAATCCGTATACATTTTCCTCAGCGCATTCCAATCACACTGCCCTTGCAATCTGCAGCAGGTGTCAGTGCAATGTTATCGACACCCCAAACGCAGGTTGCAAACACACTGTTTGCCTGCACCGGATCGCATGGTACGAAATGACCATGCAATCTGGTTGTAGCATAGTTCCAAAATTGCTGCATGCATTTGTATGCATCTAAATGCAGCATTTTAGGAATCTGGGCCATACACTCAGCTGTGTCTACAAATAAAAATGTGCGCTGCATTTAGCGGCATACAAAAAACAAAAGCAGGAGATAGCTGCACCTGGGACCATACATATCTGCAGATTTTACATGTGTAGGTGTACAAATGCATAACCGCATACACACGTAAAGTCATTAGAAGAATTGTACATACAGTATCTCCGAGAAGTGAGTCCACCCCTCACATTTTTGTAAATATTTTATTCTATCTTTTCATGTGACAACACTGAAGAAATGACAGTTTGCTACAATGTGACGTAGTGAGTGTACAGCTTGTATAAAATGTAAATTTCCTGTCCCCTCAAAATAACTCCACAAACACCACCATTAATGTCTAAACTGCTGGCAACAAAAGTGAGTACACCCCTAAGTGACAAGGTCCAAATTGGGCCCAAAGTGTCAATATTTTGTGTGGCCGCCATTATTTTCCAGCACTGCCTTAACCCTTTTGGGCATGGAGTTCACCAGAGCTTTCACAGGTTGCCACTGGAGTCCTCTTCCACTCCTGCATGACGACATCATGGAGCTGGTGGATGTTAGAGACCTTGCGCTCCTCCACTTTCTGTTTTGAGGATGCCTCACAGATGCTCAATAG